CCCTTAGCGATAATTAATCTATCGATAGGGCAAGTTCCTATTGGAATCACAATGACCTTTGCATCATATAATTGATGGCCAAGGGTAAGACCATATTGTAAGGAAGACTATACATGGGGGGTCTTATATCATCAAAAGGAATACTGATGTTTGCACTTTGGAAGCATGTGTACATACACTTCACGAGACTTGTGAACCAAGTCTTTCTATTGGGCCACCATTCACACGTTTTATCTCTTCTTTTTTTCAACAAAAAATTAAAATTCAGAAAAAATAAATAAATAAACACCAATTGGTGGAAAAGGAAGAGAATCATATACTATATTACCATCTGTAACTTGTTGATTCCTTTAGAACCCTAAATAAATGCACCAATCAGCAGCTACTGTTTTCCATCTTCTCTTAGCTAATGTAACTTCAGATGCTAGGGTTTTGCCATTTGGTCACATTGCATTGTTCATTTAAAAAAGCTTAGGGTCTGCTCTTATGGGGCACCTAGAGAGGGTTAAAGAACTAGAGGCAGACTGTCGTTCGATGTTTGAATATATAATGTAATGGCTCAAAGATAAGTGGTTTTGCTGATCTGCATTAATTTGTCCTCATGCTAATAACTATTGCATTAATTTGATAGTGGGCTCACAGCATGCAACCAAGTCTGTGGACTTTTCCAGATCTACCTGCCAACTCGTATTATGCCTTTTGAATCAGTTTATTAGAAGGTGGAAGGACGATCACGGGGGGCATGAACCCCCGAAAGGATTGTTTTAGCGGTGTTATTAAAGGATGAATATTTAATTCGATTTCGGGAAAACACTATTTCGTACTTGTATCACATGGCGTGCCGGCGGGACATTATAGATTCAATCGAGTTTTGTTCTTTTTTTTGGATGAATTGAAGAAGAAGTCATTTGACTACATGTATTAGGAGATAGATCATCGTGTTATGTAATATTATACAAAAGAGTTTCTGGTGATTTGAACGCACGGCAAAGTTTGAAATATCACATAGGCACGTACTTGGATTACCCACGCGAATTCCGACTCCCATGTTGTCCGATCTGTCATGTTAGTTCGAGTCATTCGTGAGTTCCGAAATTTCCCATCTATGACTCATCAAGGGAAAATTACAAAAGAAGGTTCTAAACTAATTGCATTTGTGCCAATTCAGTTATAAATATTTCAATTTGACCAATTTAAGCCTAAACCTTTTGACGTGGACGTTGGCCGTGCCACATAAGATGGCGAGTGCTAACATGAAAAAATTTTGTAATTTTTTTTTAATTTTGATTTTTAATTTATTTTTCTTTTTGTTTGTATCTTTTACTTACCCAGTTCAGTGAAGGTTGCAAAGCCCTTGCTGGTCGCGAGTGAGGGCTAGTGGTCATCGGCAATGGCTGTGAAGCCCTTGCCGGTTGTGGGCAAGGGTCTTGGCCCTCGCCCAGATTTGGCAAGGGCCCCCGAAGCCTTCATTGGTAGCGGGTGAGGGTCGCGGCCCTCGCCTAGTTTTGGGATAGGGCTGTGACCCTCACCTATGGCTGCCCTACTTTGGGCAAGGGCCAGGACCCTTGCCTATAGCTGGCGAGGGCCTCACGGCCCTAGCCCAGTGAGTGGCCGACAAGGGTTGGCCGGCGACCCTCACCGAACTTAGAAGAAAAAAAAGGAAAAGAAAGAAAGTGGAAAAAAAAGGAGAAGAAAAAATAAAATATAAATATAAAAAACTGTTCACACCAGCACCGGTCGTGTCATGTAAGATGACTGACGTTCACATCATTAATTTTCGGCCAAAATTGATCAGAAGGACTACATTGACAAATCGTTAAGAGGTTGGAGACTAAATTGACACAAATACAATAGGTTTAGTACTCTTTTGGTAATTTCCCCGATTCATCAACGGAAGCAAAAACTCGAAAAAGAAACGAAGGTTAATGGAATGATTACAAACGTGTACCTTATTAATTAAGGCATAATCTTTGCCTATGTGTTGAGCTCAATGCTTCGTCTAATGGACATATGGTTCAGCTCATTCTTCAAGGGAACATTGGCTAAAAAGTTCTAAACCTATTGCACTTTTGCAAATTCAGTCCTAAACCTTTCAATTTTGCCAATTGAGTCCTAAATCTTTTCATTTCTTGCCAATTGAGTCCATCCGGCTAATATTGACCGAAAATCGCTGACATGGATGCCGAACGGCCACATGGCGCTGACGTGGACATTTTAAAATAAAATTTTAATAATATATGATTTTTTATGTTTTTTCTTTTTTTTTTTCCTTTTCTCTGTTTTTTTTTTCTTGGTTTTGAAATTAGGGCCGGTGAGGGTGGCTGGCTGACTCTCGTGGCCACCCTCGCCAGCTCTGGGCGAGGGCTAGCTGACCCTAGCCAGCTCTGGGCGAGGGCGTCGTAGCCCTCACTAACTCTGGGCGAGGGCTGCAACGTCCTTGCCGGCCAAAGCAAGGGTGCACGAGCTCTCGCCCAGATTTGGCGAGGGTCGCGACACCCTAGCCAGATTTGGCCAGGCGAGGGATTGGCGGCCCTCGCCAGCCCTAGGCGAGGGAGTAGGGCCAAAGCGAGGCCGCCAAGTGCCTCGCTTGGGGCCAGCGGGACCATCAAGCCTCGCTTGCCTAGAGCCGGCAAGGGTCGGCCAGTCACCCTCGCCGGCCCCTAACTTCATAATACAGAAAAAAAAAAAAAGAGAGAAAAGGAAAAAAAAAAAAAAAAAGAGAAAAAACATAAAAAAAATTCATTAACTATTAAAATATTATTTTAAAATGTTCACGTTAGCGCCACGTGACCGTCCAGCGTCCACGTCAGCGATTTTCAGCCAAAATTGATAGGATGGACTCAATTGGCAAGAAATGAAAAGGTTTAGGACTCAATTGGCAAGAAATAAAAAGGTTTAGGACTCAATTGGCAAAGTTGAAAGGTTTATGACTGAATTTGCAAAAGTACAATCGGTTTAGAACTTTTTAGACAATTTTTCCCATTCTTCGGCCTCTTCACAACCTTTCACCATGAGTTCTAAAAATCAATGAAAGTGGGAACTTCACATTTTCTTTTTTCCACCTTATGGCCCAAATGATAACCATTCTTTTCTTCAAATAGATTTATGGCCAGAAATAGAATTTTCTATTTCTATTCTTTGGACGAGTTTTTGAACATAGATATGCATTTGATAACGATACAAAATTTTTCTTCCTAGAATGGAAATTCGTTTGATAGGCATTCTTAAATGTCTCCCTCTTATGCTCTTTATCCTTCATTGATGGGTGGCAGGGGGTGGCGGCGACCGGTGGCGAGAGGCGGTGGGCGGGAGGCGAGGGTAAGTGATAAGAAGAATTTTTATTTCTCTTTTTGTTCTAGAAATAGAAAAATAGAAAAATTTTACTTCTCATTTCAATTCTAAATCTATTTCTGGACTAAAAACTTGTTTCAAAAATAGAAAAACGAAATTACATTACCAAACGGATTTCTGTTTCAAACCTATTTCTAGGAACAGAAAAATAGATCTGGCCAGAAATAAAATGGTTATCATGCGCGCCCTTAACTATTACACTTTGGGTGAAAAAAAGAGAGAAGAAAGTCAAAATCCATAAATTGTTAGCATTACAATATTTTTATGAAATACAACCCGAATAGTCTAATAGAAAATATCTTAATAACTCTTGATAATAAACCTTACCCCCATGAAATTGTTTTGTCAGTACATACAAACATTTCAATGTCAAATTTATGGGAAAATTTCATAAACCATCTCCAGTTCTCCACCTTTTACATCCATATATATAGATTTACATCCCCGCATTTCATAAACTACAGTTTATATTGCCCAATTTAATAGCTATTTAAAGTAACAAGAAAAAAATAAGGAATAAGTGCACTAAAAATCCTAAAACTCATCATTAAAGTGCAATTGAATCCTAAAACTTTCAAAAACTGCAATTTAGTTCTAAAATTTATCACAAAACTGCAATTGAATCTTAAAACTTGCAAAAAGTACAATCAAGTTCTTAGTGTAATCAAGTTTTAAAACTTGTTAGCATTTTTCATTTATCAAGTTGGATGGAGTCATGACCTACAAAAAAAAAAAGATGGACTGAGTTAATAGAAGGATTTGAACTTCACAAGGTTAATGACTTGATTACACCTTTTGTAAGTTTTAATATTCAATTGCAATTTCATGACAAATTTTATGAGTAAATTGCAGTTTTCAAAAGTTTTAGGATTAAATTGCACTTTCATGATAAGTTTTAGGATTTTCGGTACACTTATCCCAAAATATAATTGCAATGACAATTTCACATAGGATGATTGCATTAGTTTTCTTATTGCAGAAAACTCTCTCAATCCATTGGCCTTTGACCTCTCGCTCTCAAATTCTTGCATAAGTTCAGGAGGCTTCGACTTTTGTGCATCCCCATCATGGGGCATGCTTGGGAAAATTGCCTCTTAAGTCTTTGATAACTGATCTTTTTTCCTGCTTTGGTTAATACGATATAGGGGCATTCTGGGAATAAAAATGACATTTCAATAAATTTCATAACTATAACAACGGGAGTCAGCCACCTTCCACTGATAACAGATGCAAAGGAAACACAAGGTGCAAACTCTAGGCTTTGAAGAGTGATGATGGAAATTTATATGAGAACAAAATTTGAGGATGATGTTTTGAATTTCTCCTCAAAATATTGTCAACTTTCATTTACTTATCACTGTACACATCTTACTAGATTAAATAATCGATTAGTATAAGTCTCAATGTTCATACATAAAATGGGGAGTACGGAGTAGCTAAGCAGACATTCAAGGCTCCTCTATAGTCAAGTCAACGCTCGCTTGGGGGGTCGACTTATGATCGCTCGAGAAACCGCTTCTCAAAGTATAGCGTTGTAACTTCACACGCTTTCCAATTGTTCGATACAAGATCTCACAACATACAAGTACTTATAAATCAACAAGTAATACCATGGCAAATAGTCGTGAATCAGTGCAACGCGTAGCTAATAACAAAATAGTCACTTAGAATTACAACAGAATGTTCATTAGCAGACATGAAGAAAAAAGAAAACACAACCGCATCTCTCAATGCTTGAAAGTATACACTAGAGTAATTCGTTTAAGATGTTGAAGTATATTAAGGCCACTTTCCAAAGACATTATCAACATGGAAAAATGAGTACAAATGTTTTCACTTCTGATTAACAAATGAGCATTCCAATAAGGCTATCACATGAAGAAGAAAGACTTAAATTACTTCCTTGCGAAGACAAACAATTCTGAGACACAGTTGAGATACCAAAACTAGGTGATCGACAAGGCCTAGTAACTTCTGCCCCAGTAGGACCATTTTTTTGCTGGCTTTCCCGAAGCAAAGCATTTTGTACCTGCACGCGTAATTAGACGTGAAAATTATATGGATGACATGGCCGATCTTATAACTTGGTAAACAAATGGAATTTGGTGACAAAGGACTGAGTTAGACACTCAGTAATAATATGGATTGTACTGAAAGAATTTCAATTATTACGACATCATGGAGTTTTGCAAGTTTTTTTTTGTCGAAGAGTTTTGCAAGTTATATCGTAGAGCTCTGTAGGAAATAAGCAATTCATCATATAAATACCTTCAGATCCAACCGAAATATAAGAAGTAAACGACAATAGTACCTTTGGGAAGTTCAGGCTGATCGAATGGGGAACAAAGTGTCTTGACGGCCCCCATTTCGCCCTTTGTCCGTGCTTTCACATCTTTCTCTACCTCCTAGAAAGCCATAAAAGTTTAACCTCCTTCAGAAAACAATGAACACAATAAAAGGAAACTTTGGTTCTAGGAGACGGGAATTCTACCTCCTCATCACACCAAGGGGCTAGAATCATTTTCTTTTTGCCAAGTGCATCGATGAATTCATCCCAAGTCTTCACAATCTGAATGCAAGCATCTCGCTTTTGTTTTGCAGCATCGAACAGGCTTTGCTGTATGTCAGCTAGGATTTTCTTAACTTGCTCAACTAAGCTGGCTTGTGGTATATCACTTTTTGCAGAATTGTCACGGCGAACTGCACGTACCTGCAAACAAGATGCAAATTATAAACCCTGCCCTACTGACTGTACAATCAGAAAAGAACAGGAGAAATGAACATATTAAAAAGCACTGTCAAAATGGAAAGCAAGGACATATTCCTCCTTACTTGATTCTTTGCGAAATCCTTTGGACCAATTTCAATCCTCAGGGGTACTCCTTTCATTTCCCAATGGGAGTACTTCCAACCAGGTGAATAGTTATCTCTTAAGTCTACCTCAGCTCGGATCCCAGCCTCACCAAAGGTATTCGCTGTGGCAGTACAGGCATCGAATATTCCTTGAGTATCGGCATCCTTGTATGGAACAGGAACAACAATCACTTGCACAGATGACACCTTAGGAGGGAGAACCAACCCCTTGTCATCACCATGAACCATGATCATCACTCCAATCTGCCATTAGAAAGAGAGAAAAAAGTCAGCATTTTGGTCATAGAGCCACCAAGAAGAACACGTCGACAATTATGCGGGTTAATCATATAATCTAAAAAAGGATGGTCTTCGCTAAACACAGGACGCACAGTATATTAGCCCCCATGTAAGATAGCACCATTACTAATCAGACAATAAAAAAAAAAAGGGTATTGAGTTTGTGAGCTATACTGTTCTTGTAGTATAGGCCCATGAGTTCTGCCAAACCAAGGCCTTCTCCCCCTTTTCATTCTCAAAATTAATCTCAAACATTTTGGCGAAATTCTGGCCCAGGCAATGCGAAGTTGCTCCTTGTATACCACGACCAGTGTCGGGAATGAATGCCTGCACATGATACCAAAAGGAAGTGATGGAGAGAATAATACTTATAACAGAGCAAACAGTCACTTTGTTCAATAGAAAAGAAGAAAACAGGACAGGCACAAACTTTTGCCATTTGGTTCTCAGGGTACCTCAACAGTCGTCGTGTAATAACCACCAGCAAACTTTTCCAGCTCACTTTTCTTTCCCTTTATGACTGGGACAGCTAAATATTCTTCATATATACGTCTGTAGAGTTCCAATATATCAAGAACCTGAACAAAATAATGGCCTACTTGTAAGTATTTCGATATCACAACAATTGTGCAGGGTCGTGCTTCAAACTGAAACTTAATCATGCACTATCAGCAAATAATAAGTCACAAATAGATAGGTCTAAGTCAAATTTGACATTGCATACAATTACTTGTGAAATCTACTCAAGTTTTCAAGGGCCTTCTCATTTATTCTTGGCTGTAATTTCACTTCAAATATAGCACACACGTTATCAATAAAGAAATGCTCCTTTCCACAGAAAACATCATAATATAGAACCACAAAAACCCAAATCAAACAAAGAACATCTCTTCTACACCAATTTTTACGCCAAAAATATATTATGAATCCAACAAATATAGAGAGGCAAACCTCTGCATCTGCCTCTTCTTTTGTTGCAAAAGCAGTATGACCTTCCTGCCAAAGAAACTCGCGACTCCTGCAGAAAAAAAGATTTATAGTTCACTCAAAAATCATCTTTTCAGTAGTGGACAAATAGTTACTATGCTTGGGGTCAAAACGTAACTTGTGAAGGGACAGATGATTTGCATAGAAAGACTTTCAAAACTATTTGGTAAACTAAACATTCCAGCTGACAAAACCAGCAGTATGTGAGAATCCCCAGCAGTGTACAGTGTAGCAAATACATTCATAAATTGGAATGTTGCAGAGCTTAAGTGATGAAAAATATAAAGCATCTCACCCTATTAACTAACATCCATCAACATATCATAAAGACAACAAAACAGCCACATTATCAAGATAGATACCTGATAAATGGAGTTGGATGGCTGAACTCCCATCGCACAACATTGCACCACTGATTGAGTTTCAAAGGCAAGTCTCTGTGTCCTCTTATCCATTTTGAATAGCATGGGTACATGACAGTCTCACTAGTTGGCCGGATTGCAATAGGCACTTCCAAATCAGATTCCCCTGATTTAGTCACCCAAGCGACCTGAAAGAGTCATTTTTATTCAGACAACTATCGCGAATGTTCCAGAAAAGTAACCCACAAGCTATCAATTTATGCCTACATTTCTTCTAGCATATAACAACAGAGAAGTGCATGTTACCTCTGGAGCAAAACCCTCTATGTGGTCCTTCTCCCTTTGTAAAACACCAGGAGAGACAAAAAGAGGGAAATAGCAGTTTTTAATTTTCATTTTCTTGATCTCTGCATCAAAAAATCCCTGTAAATAGAGCATTACTATCAAATTATTTTCTTCGCAGAGTGAAGATAGCTTCGTGCCAAAGGGATCAAGGTTAATGCACCGGGAATATTTAGAAGAAAGAGAAAAGAAATTGTTGCCTAGATACTCAAAAATCAATACTTCGTATATTGAGAAGAAAATATAGGTGAGAACAAAAGAAAGTGGTGATGTGAAAATCGCTCTTAAATTGAACCACGTGGAAACATAGTCATCGATATTGTGACTAATGAAAGAGAAGAACAGAGGCAAAAGAGAGTGAATTAGAGGATTCAATAGAGATAAAAGAACCTTTTTGACTCAGTTACAAGGAAACATGCTCAATACTCACTTGCATGATCTCCCAAATAGCCATTGCCCAAGGCCTCAAGATATAACAGCCAGATATATCATAGTATTCAATCATCTCGCCACTCACAACAACCTGCATTGTGTGAAGGAACATAACTGATTAAAATGTCCAACCAAATATATCATTCCACATACAGTTGAGTCGCCCCAACAAGGTAAAATGAGATTTAATGTTCCTAAGGACACTACCAATATACATCGAAGTTGTCAGAGATTTTTCATTTTTGTGATATACCAAGAATTACAAAGGGCACCTCACACTCCACTCCACTTCACATACCGCAAACCCAATAATATTATTTACTTTTTTGGTCGGAACAAACCCAATAATATTAAAAGATCCCATTTTTACCCTAAAGGCCACATGCAGAAGATCACAAAATTTTGCATGAGAGTTCAATCTCTCAATCAAGATTCTTTAAGTAGATTATTTCCTTCAATTCGCAACCCACTCCTCCACAGAAATGCTGGATATCTACAAAGTGACCGACATCACGTAGCCGACAAAAAGGCAGTCGAAACATACCTCCGAATACCACTCCCCAAAGTTCTCATCCTTCTTGTTGGAGAGACCTAACCCAGTCTCCTTCTTCACATCCTTCTTTTTCCCCCCTGCACGTCAGTACCACAGATCAAACCCGACACATCTTCACAAGCAAGCATTATTTCACAACACAATAGCACAGAACAACAGCGGAATAATATACGAGATCGCTGACCAGCACCTGCATTTGCATTGGACCTCTTTGATTCACCACCAGCCATATCTCTGACCTGATCATTAGCCAATTCCCATTGGAAAATGCAAAAGGGTCACGAAATTTACACCAAAAAATTGCTTTTTCACGACCGAAATCGACCGTCTCGGCCATATATTTCACAATTCTACTGAACTGGGCAAGGGGATTGAAGGTGCAAGAAAATGGAATCGACCCATTAATCCATGGAAAAAAATTTCATGATGAGATAGAGAGAGAAAGAGCACCGTTCTTACTGGATAGTGTGCCGACAGGCGGCCTGTCAATCGTTTCGCAGTCGAAGCGAAGGTGGTAAGATCCCAGGAAGCGAAGCAGTTGGCAGTTAAAAATAGGTGCTTGCAAAAACCCTAAATCAGAGGCTTATGTTATTGAAATCGTCAAAGATTTGGAAAGGACAGGGTTGACCAGCCAATCCCAAAAATAAAAAGAAGAAGTCATTTTTTTGGGTCAATTATTTCATTCTAATGACACAAACAATCCCTAAACTTTAATCTAATATGCAATTTGATCTCTGAATTTTTAATTTATTCAATGTAGTCCCTAAACTTTAGCCTAATATTCAATTTGGCCCCCGAACTTTTAATATGTTCAATATAGTCCCTGAATTTTTAGTACATGTTCAATTTAATCCATGAACTATATGAAAATATTCAATGTAGTCCCTGCACTTGAATTAATGGAAGGACTATATTGAATATTTTCAAATAGTTTAGGGATTAAATTGAACATGTATTAAAAGTTCAGATACCACATTAAACAGATTAAAAGTTCAGGGATCAAACTGAACATTAGGCTAAAGTTCAGGGATTATATTAAATAAATTAAAAGTTAAGGGATCAAATTGTACATTGGATTAAAATTCAGAGACTGTTTGTGTCATTTTACCTTCATTCTTCAATAATCCAAGAAGAAAAGTGTTTGGTGGTACGGTGAAAAATTTACTTAAGAGGTTTGCAATACGAAAAGAAATATCTTGGATGGAATATTAATTTACTTTTACTACTTCCATCCTTAAAATAGGTTGTTATTGTCATACCGCAAACACGTCCTTGAAAAACAAAGGAGCCCCTGATTTTCTTTTAATCAAATGGATTGTAAAGACAAGTGACTGGTTAGTGCGAGTGTGTGACTAAGCAAAAAGAGAAGCATCCTTCAACTTCTCTCGTTTCAGATTGTTCTTATTGTCCCTTTTTCTCTCGTTTCAGATGTTTTTATTGTCCCTTTATATCTTATTCTTACAGATAACGTCTGCAAATTATGTAGATGCTGTGGCTCTATTTGTCAGTCAAAAGGAAGGGTTTAAAAATTATTTTCCTAAAAACGATCGCTCATATCACTTACAAAAATAAATAAATAAAAAATATTTTCATAGTTTATGAAAATATTTAGACATATATTAATGTCGATAATGTAAATTTTTTTATACAAGCAATCAATTTTAGCCGATTGCTTCTAACTAATCATGCCTTACCAACCTTATAGCTCTAACTTTTCAATCTCCTACATGACATCAGAAAACCCGAAAAACATATGCTGTGACATTAGTTAAAAGGACTAAAATGAACAATTTTTTATTGCTCACGGGCTTCATAGAACTGTCATCTGTGAATTGGAATGGAGAGACAACTTCAGCTACAATTTAACCACCAAAAAAAATCAAATGTTAAGGGCAAAAAAATGTAAGAGATAAAATGGTACTGCCAATCCATATACCCACCACTATCCCACAGGGTTCTCATCCCCCTCAAACTTTGCCAGGGAAACCCAAAAATAAACAAGACGAAAGAGAAGTGGCCAAAAACAAGAAGAGACAGAAGATGGTCTCCTTTCGGCAATATGACGGTGCGAACCCGAGCATTTGAGTTCGGAAGTAACTTAGCCACAAAAATTCTGCAGGATCGCATCAGCTGGGTTCGGGGGGGACCACTCTTAAGCTTCGCATCCACTCACAGAAGCTAGGATCATCAAAGTGAAGGAAACTGCTTTTCAGCTTTGTCCTCTGTTCTGCCGTCAAACTCCGTAGTTGTGGGAATCTTGCTTCCTGTAAACCAAAACCAAATTTCATGTTCAATCCACACTCATAATCCTCAGACTTAGTATATCAAGCGTCTCTTGAAGATGTGAAACAACATTTGCAAGTACAGATAAGTGAAAAAGCAAAATTTTCAAATTTCGCATCAAGAATAAAAGAACACCAAGGGAAAGAATCAATAGGACGATGTGATGCTAATTTTTACCACTTACCTGTTCATAAGGAGGATCCTTGTGTGCCGGAATCAAACGGGAAACAAAATACCGGGCCTGAGAGCTTCCCTCCTGTTGAACAGGAAAACCAATATAAGCATTTTCATCATGTGAATAACTTACAACGAATCAAACAAAAGAGTGCGAAGGAGGAAAAACCTTAAATGCCAGTATTCTAGGGGCTGGAAATCGTGATTCTGTGAGTTCTTCGGCCAATGTTCGGCAAGCCGCTAAGGTCGCTGCACTTTTCCCTTCGTCAGCAGCAAGCTCAGCACCCTATTCATCAATTGATGGGAAAGTTGTTAACAAGCGAATTAGAAAAGAAAGACTACAAGAGCGGAAAGCAATGCCCTATGCAAAGAATTTATCTACAACAATAAATTCTGGAATGTGCAGCAACTCTAACTGGATTAGACACTAAGATCTAACCTTACATTTTCCTGTCATTCATCCAGGTAGACCGCATAATAACGGGACTGACTGTTGCGTGAAGAAGATTATATGTGCATGAAGGTGTCACAGGCAAATTCTTTCGCAAATGCTCTGGTGCAAAGACTAAAAAATTTCCTAATTATGCATCAAATTCAAGCAATGAATAGGCCAGGTAAGCAGGCATAAACCCAATCAAAACAAACAGATAAAGTACGTCTTTTGGTGGCATGAGGATCCGGAAAAAGACACATGCAGACACAGACACAATCCCACCCACGAAGACGAACAAGGGAAAAAAGGATCCAGTGAGCAGCAGAGAAGTTTCTCTGATAGTATTCAGAAAGAGCTAATTATTTACAATGTCCCCACAAGGATTCAGTTAGGTACCTAAAGGAGTACCTACTAGCAGCCAGCATCATAACCGACAAGCAAGCAACAGAAAATGGCAGCATCAAGCATGACAAATTAAGTGAAAGGTTAAAGTAGCTGACCATCCAAATGAAGATATCCGTGCCATGGTCCAGAACTACAGCTGTATCAGATTGCATTGCCAGGTCATAAGCCGGTAGTTCTTCAAAAGTGCCACCTTCCCGGTGCATAAGACATCGAGGAGCTACCATGCGAAGTGAAAGATCAAAAGATGCATTTAGAAACAAGTTCCTCAAAACAGACCTCTCATCTTCATGGCCAACTATGCTACCCAACAGAGGACCCCTTTTAAGATGAAACAGAAGCTCCGGCAATAGGGAAAGCTCCTTTGGAAACCGACAAAGCTTTGACTTTGGTATTTGGGACCCGAATTTCAGAGCAATATCCTTAATTCTTTCATCTATTGTTGCTCGCATGTCAATTGCGTCTGAATGATTTTTGGCCCGCAATAGAGTCCGCTTGGCAATAAGAACTGCTGCCACTTCATCTTGGACACTCTCAAGATATGCCGAAACACTATCAACAGTGGGTAGCCTAACTGTAATCACCCTAGAGATATCGGCTTGATACACATTCGAATATTGTATTGCAAACTGGAAAAATACGTGATCGCTTTTGATGTCGTTCTTTGTTTCCATGGAGATCGAGAAACTCTGAGTCTCTTCAACGCTCAACATTTGGATCGAAAGAGCAGCGTCATTTTTAAAGCTTTCATGGGTGTCTACATGGGCCTCTTCACCAGGACCTACAACCTGAGTAATGAGAATATCATCTGAACAACGAATCTCCAGCAACCCGTGAGACCCAGCAGCTCTCGTAGCTGCTCTCTGCAAATTCACACCAAATGCCTCCCCAAAGTCGTCATGAAGGATCAAGACACCACCGGAAGCTTTTGCTAGAGGCTGCAAGATAGGAATTCTCACAGGGCATGTTCCAGCACATAGAATGTCAACCACCGTATTATTTCGATGAGCTTCACGACCGAGGTGTTCCATCCATTTTGTTGCTGTCTTTTCCATGTGGGCATAGTTAGGATGAGTGAAAGAATGTGGGATTGACCCAGGCCCATAGGTACAAGGACCACCAGCACATACAATGATTCTGCCATTCCCTCCTGACCTTTTAACTATTCCCCGAGACATTTCTGCTGATGGCCCTTGAACTAGAGCAAGAGCAACTTCAAGCGCAGTACTGAGGCATCTGTCTCTAGAAACCTCGGGAACGTCCAACTTGTATGGCCTGAATGACGAAAACATTGTATGTGCTACCGGTAGTGAAGCATGAATTGGCGATAGGTATATCCCTGTCCCATATATTAGTGCTTTCAGGGACTCTTGACTAGGCGATTTGTCACCGGGTAGCACATCAGCTGATGCAACCGACTCCTCTGAAAAGTCGTAGACTGAGACAGTGCGACCATAGAGTATAATTCCAATTCTTGTTGTGGGGGGAAGAGAATCCACAAAGGCATGTAATGAACTTTGTAAATGCTGGAGGTGTGGCTCATCTAGACACTCATCTATTACAAGCACAATGGGTGCAGACATTCTCGAATCTGACACCGGAATAAAACCGGGTCTTCTATTCCCAGTTTGTACATAATCAACCATTGGAGATGAAAGCTCCGGAAAATTCCTAAGTTCTTCCTTACTGGAAGCTATATACTCTCCTTCACTTGCATTCAGCTCCCGACAAATGACACACTGCCACTGACCAGAGCCAATCAATATGTTGCAATAAAAATTCGCATAAGCCCCACAGTTCTGGCAACGATGTGGGTCTCGTTGTAGTATTTGAGGACCCACTGACACCTCTCGTCCGGGAGAAACCAATGCGCCAAATGCCAAACTGGGCACATTAGCTTGTCTCTTCTGCTTCATTACCTAAACCAATAGCCAACAGAAGAAAAACAGTGAGTGAGCAAATCTTCTCTTCTGTGTAGATGAATGTGATCAGATACAAACAAATTATATACCCAAAATTTAACAGAAATAGTGGCAATGTCTTTTATGACAGAAAATTTGCTTGTAGCAAGATCAAATAAATGACTAAAAAATTCAACTTTTAGCCAGAGAAAAGAGAACGGGTACCTTCTGAGCTGAAAACAATACATATGGTACTTTCCCAGTAGATGTCGAGTCCTCTGCAGAATCAGAAACATGGTGCTGCAAATCACCTGATCCATTTGAAAAGTGAGGGGGGGAAGAAGCTGGTAACGATGACCCAGAAGAGAATGCAACAGGCTGTGGGGTTGCAGGAGAGCTTCGGAAAGGCACTG